TACAGTATTGTTAACTATAGTTACCATATTAAACATTAAACCCCCGGAACTTATCTTACAACTGAAAGTTTATACCTTTTGACCATCTTCACCTATTTTGCCCACCCCTTACCCCCGCCTCTGACAACCACCAATCTGGTCTCTGTACCTGTGAGTTCAGGGTTTTTTTAAGATTACAGATATATTTGTCTTCCTCTGACCTATTTCACTTAGCATAATGCTCTCAAGGTCCATCCATGTTATCACAAATGGCAGAATTTCCTTCTTTTTTTATATATGCCACATCTTCATTATCCATTCATCCATGGATGGTCACTTAGGTTGTTTCCCTATCTTGGCTATTGTAAAAAATGCTGCAATGAACATAAAGGCATACCTTTTAGAGACAGTGATTTTCTTTCCTTCAGATAAATACCCAGATGTGGGGTTGCAGGATCATATGGTAGTTCTACATTTTAAATTGTTGAGGAATCTCCATACTGTTTTCCTTAGTGGCTGCATACCCACCAACAGTGCACAGGATTCCTGTTTCTCTACAACCTCACCAACATGTAATCTTGTTTTTGTTTTGTTTTCTTTTGTTTTGATAATAGCCATTCTAACAGGTGTGAGTTGCTATCTCATTATGGTTTTTATTTTCATTTACTTGATAATTAGTGATGTTGAGTATCTTTTCATGTATCTGTTGGCCATCTGTATGTCTTCTTTGGAAGAATATCTATTCAGTTCCTCTGCCCACTTTTTAAATCAGATTGTTTGGTTTTTGCTACTGAGTTGTATGAATTCTTTACATATTTTGGATCTACTGAGTTGTATGAATTCTTTACATATTTTGGATATTAACCTTTTATCAAATATATGATTTGCATACATTTACTCCCACTTCCTGGGTTGCCTTTTTGTTTTATTGATGGTTCCCTTTGCTGTGCAAAAGCTTTTTAATTTGATGTATCATCTTACTTGTTTATTTTGCTTTTTTTTCCCTTTGCTTTGCTGATAAAAAAAAATCACTGCCAAGACCAATTGTCAAGGAGCTTACCTCCTATATTTTCTTTTAGCAGTTTTATGATTTCAGGTCTTATGTTTAAGCCTTCAATCCACTTTGAGTTGATTTCTGTGTTTGTTGTAAAACAGTGGCTCAGTTTTCTTATTTCTTTTGCATATGGCTGTCCAGTTTTCCCAGCATAATTTATTGAAGAAACCAGCCTTTCTTCATTTTATATTCTTGGTTTCTGTGTCATAAGTCAATTGACCATAGATGCATGGGTTTATTTCTGGGCTCTTCTGTCACATCGATCTATGTATCTGTTTTTATGCCAATACCATATTGTTTCGATTACTATAGCTTCATAATGTAGCTTGAAATCAGGAAGTGTAATGCTTCCAGCTTTGTTGTTCCTTCTCAAGATTGTTTTTGCTATTCAAGGTCTTTTGGGATTCCATACAAATTTTAGGATTGTTTGTTCTATTTCTGTGAAAAATGCCATTGGAATTTAGATAGGAATTGCATTGAATCTGTAGATTGCTTTGGGTGGTATGAACATTTTAACAATATTAATTCTTCCAAACCATTACCATGGAATATTCCATTTATTTATGGATTCTTCAATTTCTTTTATCAAAGTCTTACAGTTTTCAGTGTACTGAAACTTCTTGGTTAAATGTATTCCTAGGTATTTCATTCTTTTTGATGCAATTTTAAATGAGATTGTTTTCTTAATTCTGCTTTCTGATAGCTCATTATTAGTGTATAGAAATGCAACTGAGTTTTGTATATTGGTTTGTATCCTGCAACTTTACTGAATTCTCTCTGTGAGTGTGTGAGTGTGTGTGTGTGTGTGTGTGTGTGTGTGTGTGTGTGTGGTCTTTAGGGTTTTCCATATATAACATTTATAACATTGAGTTATCTGCAAATAGAGACAGTTTTACTTCTTCCTTTCTGACTTGGATGCCTTTTAAATTTTTTTTCTTGCCTAAATGTTCTAACCAGTACTTCCAGTCCTATGTTGCATAAAGTAGTAAAAGTGACTATATTTGTCTTGTTCCTGATCTTAGAGGGAAAGCTTTCAGTTGAAATTCCTCATCTTTCTCAAACCTACTGGTTCTATTTACTTTCTAACTCAGTTAAAAGCCTGACAGTATCTAGACATCTTATCCTTCCACACCACCATCCACTTGATGACCTAGTGCCATTGAGTGTCCCGATGAAATGGCTCTCTGTAGATCTCTCTTCTTTTTCCCTGTTCTCCCTGGTTCAGGCACAATTCATTTCCTTTGGGTGAGGTGGTCTGGACCACTCTAGTGGTCTGAAATCTGAGCTCATTCCTCTTTGTAATCCCACCTACTCACCACCTCCAAAGTTACTTTTGCAAGACACAAGTCAGATCAAATAATTTCTCCCATAAAAATGTGTGGTTTCTCCTGAATAGGCTATATTCACGACCCAAGTGAACTAAAATCCCTCCTCCCCTGCCACACTCCCCTGCCACATCCCCATTTCAGAACACCTACACATTTTTTTTAACATGACCTTTCCTTCAATGTGGACAGCCAACTCCCTTCCGTTGAGAACTCCTAGTGCCTACTGGGATCCAGTTCACCTGTGAACTCTGAAGGCTCTTCCAGATTCTCTCCAGCCTTCTTTCCCTGGGTTCCCACTGAACCTGTTCCTGTTTCCATTAAACACTCACCATGCTGATCATTATCACTTATTTTCTTATCCTTTTTGCGAGACTGATTTCTGAAAGGCATGGGCCTCCTTCATTCAGTCTCTGGCACAGGGCCTACATAGCACACAGTGGATGTTTGACAAACAGCTGTTGATTAGCTGAGTGGATGGTACAGACGGTATGGGAAATGAGACCACAGTGGCTCTCAAAGTTGGTCTCAACAAACCTAGTTTCTGCACTGTATCTGACCAGCTGCAAATGATTATTCCAGTGGTTTTTAAAAGAGTGTGATATCCACTTGCTAACGACAAAGCTCTCAGGTTTCCACTTAGGCCTACTAAATGTTCATCCCTGGAGACAGCCACGCCCTCCAGGATTCAGTTGAGTTCTGCAGGCTCTGTAGACACAGGCATTTTGAAAGCTCTTGGGATTCTGTAGCTTTGGTTGAGAACACTTTTTCCCCTCACAAAATTCAATGAACTGGGCTTGGGCACTAGGTGGCCAATTAATGCAGATCTGATTTGCAGTGGATTTGAAAGCAAAGTGCAACTCGCATTTCAGCCTCATTCAGCTCAATGACGAATCATATTTAATAGCTATAAGGCTAAAGAAAATCTATGTGTAGACTGAAAAGCAGCCAAATGTCCACTCCCCTGCCTTGTTCCACAGTCAGTGCTGACCGGCTTCATGATCCTTCCCAGCTTCTAGGTTGTTCCAACTCCCTTGTGTCCCCAGAATGGAGGGGGCCAGTTGGCAAGGGTTGCCCTGTGCCTGCAATGCATTTGTCCTGTGTTTTGAAGTTGATGTAATACGTGTGAAAGTTGAGTTGCATTATTGTAAATGTCCTATTTTCCCTAAAGTTGCCCTCCCTGTGACAGGTGAAGTGGGATTCTGGCTGAAGGGAAGGGGAAGGAAGGGCGGGCTGGAATGCTCTGGCATCCTTTCTTCTCCAGTTGCGGGGCTGTATGTTAAAGGGAGCCAGAAACTTTTGTTTTTTACTAAAACAAATACTTTAAAAAAGCTTTGGCTTTTGAAGTATCCATTGCACACGTCCATCCCACTGTAGGACACAGAAGAGATTTAAAGCATGCGCTCTGCTCTATCGTTTATTTAGGGATAAGAAAAAGACTGCAGTGCCTTGGAGAATAAATCATTAACTAAAAGTCAAATCGAGACACCCTGGAAACCAGTGAGACCCGGAGGCGGCGGAGGGATCAGGTGGCTGAGATTTGCCTGTTCCCTCCGGTGACTTCCAGAGCGAAGCATCCCACGGGCAGGGCGAACTCGGCACACTGTGCTCCCTTCTATTTCACTTTTCCAACTTGGAGTTATTTTTAGATGACCCAAGCCAGCTAATCCCAGGGAGGACAATTCCCGCTGCGCCTCGGAGCACCTTCGTCCTGCCCAGTGCTTTCCTTTAAGCGATGGGAGAGGAGCCCCCGCGTTTCTCCTTTGCGCTCTGGGTCTGGTCCACCTGGTCTAACCACTACCCCCCACACCTCAGTCCCAGGACCACGGGCGTCTTTCTTTACCCGCCATTTACGCACCTGCTGCTGCTCCCGAGAAGGCAAACCCTGGGGCCACTGGGAATGGGAAAAGGCTCTCCGAGACCCGCGCCCTCTAGCAGGGGGTCAGGGGAGACCTCTGTCCCCACCGCCGCCTTGGGGGCCCACAACG